AGAGTATTAAGTTTTTTGTTTAACATTAGGTTTTACTCGATATTGATTTTGTTTCTTTTGACCTCCCTTTTATCTTAGAACTTACAACTGGGGATCTTCAGGTGTGGACGGTTGGTGAGACTAAGGTCTTTTTGGGGAGCGTGGAGGCCATTCAAGAGTACTGAATTAAAGATGCTAAGTTTGCGGCAACTCAACGTCGTAACAAGCAATCAATCATTAATTTGCTAAAACAGTTAAAGACTCCTGAAAATCTGGCCGCTGCTAAATGTCCTCGTACAAATGAGGAGAGCTCTGTTGTTGAGGACTCCCAGGCTTTAGATGCCTTATCAAAAAGAGTGAAGACAAAGGGTTCTGTGCCTCTTCAAGTAACATCAGCTTCAGTTAAAAGAGAAGTAAAGCCAGGGGCTTTCGGCTTTGACATGAAGGAGGAGCTTCTGGATTTGCTGAATCCTTGTAAGATTTCTTAGAGTAAATAAATTTTAGTTTGAAAATTTTATTGTAACCCTTTTCTCAAATTCTGTTTTTGCTCAGGGCATTGCTATCATCCCTTCAGAGGGAGCCTATTTGAGCCAGAGGATCCGATTGGGTATAAGCGCAATGTTTTCAAGTGCTTTGGTTTGGACATACAGAAATTGGACAAGGATTCAAAGCATTTTTCTCCGGTTCCGGGTTGCGTTGTACAAGACTACACATATGGTTCACCCCAAAATTGTCATCAACGGGCAACATTGAAAAATTCAGGAAAAGGCCCTTGTGTTCCACTTCTTGGCACTTCCTTAACTGTTCCTTGGAGACTGTCTGAAGGGCGCAATACGTTTTGTGATATTTGACCCAAAAAGGCCACAACCAGAGCGGTTTTTGACTTCAAACATCTTCTTGCTGGGAGGGGCATAGAGTTGTATCAGGTAGAGAAATAAAACATTCTTTTGCAAGTTCTCCTTTTGGAACACGAGATTTCAATGATTTTTCTTTCATTTTCTTTTCAGTACTCGTTAAGTGGATGGTTTGCTTTGGTTGGAGAGGGAAAAGTGGTTTCTCCTGAGGAAATGCGCAACAGAGTGTACGCGGATCTACATTTGAGTTCTTCCTTTCGTTTCACCCATGCTTTGCTTAGAGTGGGGACGAATGATTTAAAGAATTTAACTGAACCTGACGTCATTCGTCATTATCCCAATTTTGGACATTTTCTTCAAGCCCTCCATGGGTATTTTGATGAGCTTTCTTGTGCTTTTGATGCGCCAGTCCTGGATTTGGGGGCTTCTGCTCCCCCTGCGTTAGCACAAGGGAGTAATACATATTTGACAGAAAAGATGGATTTGGACTTGCAAGGGGTTCCTCTATTTCCCCTTAAGAATAATGGGGTTCCAATCTTGAGTCAAAGAGGGTGTGAAAGCGCCGGTCATGCTTTTCAGATGGCCTTATACAATGGTTTAAAGACTAAAATCGGGAAGAGGCAAGGGGCTGCAAGCGGGAAGGGATGGTGGGCAGTACCGACTCCGGTTAGGCATCTTGCTGCTTTTGATAGGTCAGATCGTACAATGTTGTCTTTTGGCCACATACATACTCGGGCCTAACTGTTTTTTGCCCAGCTTTGTGCTGCGGCTATCTGCTTTGGGTTGGAGTGGACCCAGTGTCTGAACAAAACTTGGGGGGCATTTGCTTGTGCTGGTAGCTGCCCATATTGGCTGGACAGTGGGAAAACTGCTCCAGGGATTCCCCCAGGACTACCTCATCATCAATCTACGGATCATGGTCCCAAGGAGTGTTTTGGGAATGGACCTTTCCATATCAACCCGGCAGTTATTGGATTGGGAGGTGATCCTTTCAGGCAGTAAGTCTCTCGAAAAACTGGTGGTTTTTAAATTCATTGGGGGGCATTTGCTTGTGCTGGTAGCTGCCCATATTGGCTGGACAGTGGGAAAACTGCTCCAGGGATTCCCCCTGGACTACCTCATCATCATTCTATGGATCATGGTCCCAAGGAGTGTTTTGGGAATGGACCTTTCCATATCAACCCGGCAGTTATTGGATCGGGAGGTGATCCTTTCAGGCAGTAAGTCTCTCAAAAAACTGGTGGTTTTAAATTCAGTATTTACAATGTTTTCTTTTCTCCCTTTCAGGATGGATGAGATCTTAAGTCAGAAGATGTTCTTGGAGGTCTTCTCTGCGGATTTCTTGTGCTTGGACCCCAAGAGAGCTGTGTCTGGACGTTTCGTTGTGGGATCATCAGTTCGAGTTGGAAATTCCTCTCAAAGAAAATTCATAATATCAAAAGTAGGGGACAAGGCCTGGGTTGTGGGAGAGGGAGGTCTAGAGTTTGCGGATATGGCATCTCTTTCTCGTTATGCTTAAAGAACTCTCCCATCTTTCGGCGGAATTGTGTTTTTTTTTGTTATAAGTCAGAAGATGTTCCTGGAGGTCTTCTCTGCGGATTTCTTGTGCTCGGACCCCAAGAGAGCTGTGTCTGGATGTTTTGTCGTGGGATCATCAGTTCAAGTTGGAAATTCCTCTCAAAGAAAATTCATAATATCAAAAGTAGGGGACAAGGCCTGGGTTGTGGGAGAGGGAGGTCTAGAGTTTGCGGATATGGCATCTCTTTCTTGTTATGTTTAAAGAACTCTCCCATTTTTCGGCGGAATTGTGTTCTGTGAAGGGTCTCTCTTTTGGTTGAAGGGTTTTTTGTAATCATGTTTTTGCACAGTTTTGTTTAATAAAAGTCTTTTGAACTTCAATTGCTTGTTCTCATGGTTTCTTGCTCACAAAAATTCCAAAGCTGGTTAGGAATTTCTTTTCTGTCGTCTCAGAGTCTGCTTCTAGGGGCACCAGGTT